AATTTAATACAGCTTCATGTGCACCTGTACCATAATACCACATTATGCCACGGTTTCTGGCAATAAGGTAACTTAGAAATAAACATAACGCAGCATCGTGTGCCTGTGTAGTATAATAAAATAGCCTATCACATCCCCTGATGCCGAGGGCTTTTGAGCTACAGAGCAGATCCACCCTTGTAAGGCGGAATATCTGGAACAGAATGCCACAGCCACCCCTCCCTTGCCCAGCATCGAACCCTTTCTTTGTCTCTGTCTATTTCTCCCCAGCTCTTACCTCCTTACCAGCAGGATCTGGAAAAGAGCCCCGGTGCTTCTCTTCGGCGCAAAAGATGCTGCCAGGAAGCCGCGTCTGCCTTTAGCTGGGCGGGGGCCTGCCAGGAGCCTACGTCTGTCGTCGTCCCCCCTCGTTCTCTCCTTCCTTGCTGCAATGCAGCCCCTCCTGGAAAGACATTTCAGTGGTGTGCAGGTCCTCCCCCCCCCTCAGCTGCTGAGCCAATGAATCAGCTGGAAGAGCTATTTCCAGAGAGGGGGGAAAGGGAGCTATGAGGGTTTGGGTGGGGGCACGTCTGAGACGGGTGTTTTGCCCTGGCCGGGGCACGGGGGGGTGAAGCCCCTTGGGGAGGAGGCAGGTCAGAGGCAATTGCTCGTTGGCTGCATTCGCTCCCATCGTGGGGGAGGTTGGGGACAGGGGGTCGTGGGCAGCCAGTTTGCCCTCTCCCACCAGGGGAGGGGGCTCACCTGGTGACCCTGAGCGCAAGGGAGCTCAAGGCCAGCCCACAGAGAAGGTCCTTGAAAGACTTGCCAAGTCTTGGTGGATCTCCCCACCCTCTCCAGCTTGGCGTTCCCTGCCGCCTTCGACGGCTTGGCTTGGGGGAGAAGAATCTCGATTAGGGAGCCCAGGAACATGGCAGTGAAAAGAGAGCCCAACAACTAGCATAGATCCGTGTGCGCGCCCTGAATCCATCTTCTCATGACTGAGCTTCTCCCACACCCCATTTCTCATTTTGTTTCCCCTTTGGGGTGTTTTTTTCCCCCTCCTCCTAAGGGGAACAACCTCAGATGCTTTTAAACTTCCCCACATCCCTTTGGTTTGCTTTACGGGAGGACAAGAACGCGAGATGCCTTTTTAATCCGCACCCAACGGGAGTCTGCGCGTGTCGGGGTCTGATTAGGTTCCTAAAAATGTGCGGTGACGCGCAGGCAGATCTTTCGGCCGTGCTGTCATCGCGGCTTTGAGGCTGTGCTGAATAATAGGGGCTGCTGTTTTCTCAGCTCCTTTCTAAGTGAGACCTCCCACCCCAAGCGTGGTCCGCACGGATATTAATTTGGGTGCACTTGACAGGGCAGATTGAGCAGAAAACGGGAAGCCTTAAAAGCATCCTGAATTTTATAGGCAACCAAAGGAGCTCTGCGATCGTTTAAAAACCATTTTCCTTCCAGGTATTCTGGGGGGCGCAGTTAGAAAAGGACTCCGCTGACCAAATGCCTATATTTTTGAAGTCTGAGCTGGCTCCAGATTCCAAACCCGCACACTTGCCACACAGAATGCTTCAAAGCTGCCATTTGCAGGCGAAAGTGGGCAGCGTCCTTGCTTCAGTAGCTTTGGGCCCGACATGATCACAATGCTGCGTTTTTCCCCCTTTCTGTGGCGGAGAGAGAGGAGGAGAAGCTGGCAGCCCACCCCTTTCGGCCTTGCAGGCCCCCAGCCTTGGCCCCTTGACCACCCAAGGGCCACGCTCTTTGCTGAATTTAATTCTACTTCGTGGCGTGGGAGGAAGAAGAGGGAGCTGGCTGGGAGGGCAGAAGGGTGAGAGGGAGGATGAGAAAGGGTCTCTTCTGGATTCCCCGGGGCCCACCGGGATTCTGTGTGCACTCTTAATTATGGCAATGAGGTTTTTTAAAAGGGAGACAAAAGGTCTCTTGTGAGAGCCTCCAGAATCCGGGTGGGGAAGGGGCTTTTCTGCCCTGAGCCAGAGTCTCCTCTTCAGCCTTTTTGGCAGTGCCTCGCTCAAAATGGCACCAAGGGAGGGCAGTTCCTCCCATCGTTCGGGGCAACCTCTCTCCCAGTTTGCCAGGATTTCAAAAAAGGAAAAGGGCTCACCGCTCGTCTGCCCGGCACATCCTCCTTGGCACTGTGCGTCACGACCCTCTGGAATTCACTGCGACAAGATGTGGTGACAGCTGCTAACTTAGATGGCTTGGAAAGGGGCTGGAGAAACTCACGGATGTCTCCGTTCTGGGTGGCCCCTGAAGGAAAGCAGATGCTGGCCTGGTCCCACAGGGTCCTTTGTCTTTACAGAGTCACACAGGCCGTCTACACACGCGGGTCGGGTGGCATGGTCCGAGTTCTCGGAGACTCAGAAACCGAAGTCAATTAGATGCCCTCTTGGCAAGGCCTGTTCCAAGTCACAAGAAAGAGGAGAAATTGAAATCTCTCCCCGCCAATGTTGAGTCTAATGTAGCCTGGCAATGCAGTGCCTTAATTACGTTAATATTCTGCTTAATCTGGGCCTCCTGTTCTGTGGGAGTCTTCCCCCTGCTCCTGCATGCGAGCAGGGCTTCTGTTTTTCTACCTCATTCTTGGAGATTTTTCACCCTTCTTTTGGGGAGGTGTTTCTCAGCCTCCTCCATCCTTAAGGAGCTGCCTCGGTTGCGTCTCCCCTGGGGCCTCGCTTGCATCCATAACCCATTTCCTAACTTAAACTTCCCCCAACCCACGCTGGGAATCTCAGCCCAACGTTGGCGTCCCCTGAAACCTTTTTCAAAAACCGTTTCCTTCTCACCAAATTGGAGGAAGCGGATGGAAAGCAAAGCACAGGAACAGTTTTCAGGGCAGGGGTAAATGGAACAGCAGGCCTGAATTTTACGTCCCTGCGTGTGAGTCGGATGGAGCAAAAACTGACTTTCCAAAGGGGTGGGTTTGCGTTTGGTTTAGGGCAACGCAGGGTTTCCTCTTTTGGCTCCCTCCTTGCATGGAGCTCGTGGCTGGGCAAAAACTAGAGAAGATTGAAACGAGAGAGGTATAATCCTGTCCCCGCCTCTGCTAAAAAAAAGAAAAGTGGAAACTTGGGGAGTAATTAATTGCACGACTTGGCTCTTTGAGACCCCCCCAAGACTGATGAGACCAGGATGTACCTCAAAGGCCCAAGAAAGCTCCTTCTGCACTTTCTTTTCCCGCTCAGATCCTCCAAGAAGGATCGAGTCTTTATGCAGACTGAGCAACAAGAAGCAGGTTTTTCTTCTCCCACCTTCAGATCTTCCAGCTGTGGGTCAGAGAGCCCACTTCCCTCGTCTTGGGCAGGACGGCTCTGGGGTCGAGCTCTGTGCAGCCCACCTAGTTGCAGAGCATGGCCCCCATCTCGGGATCCACTTCTCTGCAATGGGCCACGATGATCCAGGGGTCCCAAACTGCTTGGAGGCTGGCCCCTACTCTGCAGAAGAGGGAGGAGTTTGTGTTTCTGGCCCTCGTGGGGGGCTTTTAGAAGCCCCTGCCCCATAAACAGTTAGCAAACCCCTGAAAAGCAGGGAAGACATTCTTCAGCCTGTTTCCTCCTCCCCAACCCTTACTTTCTCCTTTTGTTGTTCCAGTTGTGCCACCAAGAAGTGCCCCGATCGGTGTGCCTGGGGACGGCGGATGCTCGGGCCCAACCTCCCTGCCCCAAACCCATGTTATGTCTTAGCAGAGGGCATGCCAGCTGGCTGTTGCACCAAGCCACGATAGTGTATGGCACTTGGCGGGTTGTTAACCCCAGCTGTTGGCGCAGCAGCCGCGTGGGTGACCCACGGCCCCGGCCGGACCCATCCCCGTGCCCGAAAGCCTCTGCCAGGCCTCTCGCCTTGGGACTGCAGTGCCAGGAGGCGGCCAGAGTTGGCGGTAGGCTGCTCCTGCGAGCCCAGGGACGGGTGCGCGTTGAATCATCGCTGGGGGGTGTTCCTCGGTCTGCCTGTTGAAATCCTTCCGAGCGTTTCCTCCTCCTTCCAGCAGCAGCAGCAGCAGGGTGGCGGACCTCAAGCAGGAGCTCCATTTCCCACAGAAAGGAAAGTTTCCATGTTGTCTGGCTGGGGGGCTCGAGGGAGGCCCAGCGCAGGGAGAAGGAAGCCGTCCCAGGACCCCGGCTCCCAGGAGGGCAGGTAAGGGGAGATGGGCTCTCTGGCTCTCGGAAGCGAGCCGGGATCAGCTCGGGGCCAGGCTGGCTGCCAGGGGGGCACCTTGCTTGCCTTTCCGCCTCGGTCGTGGTCGCTTCAAAGCGCCCGGCAACTTTGAGCAAAGCTCCTTTGTAGCTCCAGAGTCTTATTTCTCTCTCTCTCTCTCTCTCTCACTCTTTGGAAAATGCGGATGGTCGGGTCGGGTCGTCCCCCTTACACACCTGGGATTTCTCCCGGCCCTCGCCCCCAATCTCGTCTCTTTCGCAAAACACGTTTTGCGAGACAGGCGGAACTTGCCCAAAAGGGATTTCACTTCTGAAGGCAGTTCCCCTCTCTCTCTCTCTCTCTCTCTCTCTCTCTCTCTCTCTGGCTTTTGAATGGCGTCTTTCCCCAGACTGGCACTTGGGAAAAAAAAGTTCCATTGATTCAGAGCAAGAGGTGTGGGTGTTAACCATGCGTTTTCTTTCTTTCTTTCTTCTTGGGGTGGGAAGGGAAAGTCCTATTCGAGTCGGGAACTCCCGTTTCCTCGCAAAGACCTAAGGCTCCTTTTTACTCTCTGACACTTTGGGGAGGGGAAGAAAGATTCAGCTCTAGCAGCTGAAGAAATAGGGAGACGGGAAAATGGGGAGATCGGGCTGTTTCTCTCCCCCACCCAGCCCGCCCCCACGGCTTCTTTCAAACCCATCCCCGAGCTTCCCTCTCCGTGTTGCGGATCAGCTGGGGCCACCGGCCCCTCGGCAAAACGAGCCCCAGCCTGGCCTGAGAAACGACTCCGTTGCCAAAAAACTCATACGTGCTTCGAGAACCCTTTGCATGCTGCCGAGGGTCACATGACTCTGGCAGCATGAAAATCCAATTAATCAGTGAATAAGCTTTTTTCCCACCCCGCTGGATGGGGGGCCAATTTGGTGCCCCTTCTGCGCGGGGGAGAGGAATTTTCACGAGGCTCGCCGAATCAAAAACCTCTTTTTTTTCCTTACTGCTCATCCTTAATCGCTGGAAAGCATACCACGCCGTGGCCTCGGCCCCAGTGGATGGGGAAGATGGGCCCGGTGGTCCATCCAGAACACACCGGGTGAGGGAGACGGAGCAACAGCCTTGGATCCCCCTTTTTCTCTCTAGTTTTAAGGATTTTGTGGTATCATGGTGGCATCCACGCAACTTTAGCTCCCTGTCAAACTCTGAAAGTTAAATAATAATTATGATTTGTGGGTATTTTTAGACAGCATCTACATTATGTTGGGGGAGTGTACCCAGAAACGCCCCCCTTCTTCTCCCAAACATCTGCCCTTCACTTTTTTAGAAAGCGTCTTGCAAAACCCTCCTAAGGAAGTTTAATTTTCTGCTTAACTCTTGTACTCTCCCCCCCC